TTAAATCACGTCGAGGTCACCATGTTTTTTATTTTAAGAAATAATAACAATTGCAAGTACAACTGCACACAAAAACTACATTGAAAAGATAAGAGGATGATAACATACAATTAGGTTATTTGATATAAAACCATAGCAACATGCTAGGATATGCTCGGCCACTGGAAAGTACTGCGCTCTAGTGTAGCAAACGAGGAACAATTAATCCTCAGTTGAATGAGGGAACGGAAATGTTCGACGGAGGAAAACTGTAACCCGCGAAAATTCAACTTTTAGACCTTGAAATCAATGGGATTTTGGCCGTTCCTCCGACGGCAACGAGAACCATCCATTCGTCGCCACGGACACTACCAATGCTAAAAGAAATCGATCGCAAAGAGCTCTCCCGAGTGGGCGAGCTCAAAAGGGGGCCACGGTACAGGACGCGAATTCCGCAGACAAGGCTGCTTGACGCAAAGACGGTCAATATTTTCACTTATTTGGATGAATATAACTGAAAATAATAAGTTAGGTACAAGTTGAGTGTGAATTTACAGCAGAAGTGGAAGTATTTAGATGCAAGATGATGGTTATGAAGCGTTAAAGTTGCGCACTTGAGTCGCAGACAGGCTACGGTACAGGACATTTCAGCTGTTAAGGGCCAAAATTCTAATATTAAATGGCAAAAACTGCCTAAAACGATGTTAGGATCTGATTAAGCGTAAAATTTTGAACAAATTTTAAAAAAAAAAAGGTCAGATTTTTCCATTTTGAAGGGCTAAAAAGTCGGGAGACATGGTAGAGCAAAACTTATTTGATTCTACTCGGCGATGAAGAATCTTCCTTAAAAACCGTAGGCGTAAACTTTCCTCGCTGATTTCAAATTGCCATAACTCGGTCAATTTTTATCCGATTGAGCTGATTTTGGTTTTAATCGATGGGTATTGAGTTGATCTTTAAAATGAGATCAAGATCATGTCTGTATCTATCTTACTTTCGAAGTTACAGAACAAGTCCCGGTGCTTTTGGGACACCTTATGTATACTTTACGCCGAAAAAGCGAACCTGAAACTTAAATGCGTTAACTTCCGAAAACCATATATAATCCAACGAAAATAAATAATTGGTACATAACAGCTTTCTTGTAAGTATGCAAAGAAAATAATTAAAAATGTTAAAAAAGAGATGTCAACACAAAATTACATAGCCCCTTCAATTCAGAAGATACTACAAACGAACTGTACCTTAACATTTTCATATCCCAGAAGCTAACGTTCCCATGACGAATATTGCCATCGCTAGCGATTGCAAAATCCAACTTGTTTAATTTGTTATGACTTCGGTGAACACAATTTGCCAAAATTAGCAGAAATAATGATTGATTAAAATGAATAAATCCCGAAAACCGCTCGCAGTCTGCGATTCTCCCATTAACAACCGTGTTAAAAAGTGCCAAATGGTGATTCCCACTTTCCTGCGAACATGGGGCTCGGAATGGCCTGTTCATGGATTGACTTCATCGGCGCTCCAGTACATTGCAACTCTATTGTACTCTATGACTCTAACTTACTGCACTCTCTATCTAGTTGCATGCCACACAATTACCTACACTATCACTTTTTCTTCCCATAATCATCAAATTAGAGATGTTGATTAGAGATTTTTGCAGCACCAATCCAGTTCTTGTACAAAAATAGGTTCACCCTCTCATTGCACACCTTGCAAAACAATGCGGACATGGGAACAACATTTGGTAGAAGTTGCACTTCGCGTTTTTTTTTTTTTTTGACAATTGGGCTGGATAATGCAGTATCCAGACAATCCAATTTCCCTTGTATCCCTGTCTTTGTCAATTGACTATTGATCCTCCATTTTATTTTGTTTCAGAAAATCCCGAGGAAGAAGTGAAAGTTTCAAAACTGTATGATGATGCAGTCAAATTAGTTTTCAAAGAGTATCTAATACGGATGCCTGCTGTGGAAGATTGCTCTGGCAATGTTCCTATTTTTGCAAATACCGAAGAAAATTTTAAATTACCAGAATTGAATGCAAAAAATATCCGAGCTGTAGTCAAAGGAGAGTCCTCTGCAAAACTACCCGATCATAATGTTGTTTGGAGGTTGAACCATCGGAGGTTTGACCAAGATCTTAGGTAACAATTGGTCCAAGCTTAACAAAAACTCACCGAGTTGCATCGAGTTTGAACCAAAAAAAGTTTGAAGCTTTATTTTTCCCCAAAACTTAGTGTTAAGGACAAAGGCAATTTGCATGCTCAAATTATTTTTTCTTGTCTTTAAATGCATGATCAGTTAAACTCAAAACTACTCCTAACACATTTTATCGCGAAAAGCAACTTGGCGCGTCTCTGGTAAACTTGACTCAATTCTAATATTGGCTTTTGATAAAATGTCAATGATGAACTTCAATAAAGAGCACTTCTGAAACCTTGATTGGAAAAGAAATAGAATGATGGTTTTCGATGCAAATGTTACAGCGAGGAGTGTTGGTAGCAGAATCAAACCAACACACTTGCCTTAGGAAGAGGGTAATATGTACCAGTATTACCAAAGTCATATCTCTAGACAATATTGTCGCAACATTCTTTCAATATTCTGATGTATTGTAGGAATATTGTGATGAGCTGTGAGTGACATTGCTAGAAATTTTCAGGGAGCAAATATTTGCTTTGATATGAAAGAAGTGGTAAACCAAAAATTCGAAACGCATCTCCTTTAATCGGCTCCTGAGGATAAAATTTGACAGTCAAAATAGCTCCAAAGGTTTCAATTCAAGGATAAAATGTCACTCAAAAACGGTGAAACTTCAAAAAGGTGTAAATGTTTCTGCTCTAGCAATGAGAGGTTTTCCTCAAACGTACTGATACCACCTTTAATCAGAAACCATTTTACAGCATGAGCAGGCAACAACCTGTTACTCTGCTTTTTTGATGAGCGTCATATTCTGGTCCATTCAATTCACCATTTTCTTGTTTTGACATGATACTTAGCCTTTAAATCTTCATGGCCGTTCCTTCCATTGAACTGGAGCTTTTTTTTCTTGTTTCAGGGATGAAGTTATGATTTCTGCAATAACCAAGCGCTTTGATGCATACGCTGGCAAATTGATGGAAATTTTGCTGAAGCTAATGTACGAGCGAACAAGCCCATGGCAGTCTGTCTCAAATCCAATCCCAATAACTCTAATCAAGGACACCTTAGTCAAAGCAAGAGTGAAAAATTATCTCTATGCAAATATTCAGCAATACTTAAAAGTCATGGGTAAGCAAAGTACTTGCGGCTCTCAGGATGGAATCAGGATGGGTGTTGTATCTATAAATTAGCAATTGCTAGCAGCTTTAAAGCTGACTTCTTCCAGTAACTTTCTCCTAAAATATGCATTAAAACCACAAAAGTTTATATTGGCCAACAATAAGAAAAGTAGAAAGAATACATTTTAGACATTGTAACATGGGCTTTTTACAAATTGAGTGTCAACATAATCCGTAATATTTGTGAGCTCTTTTTTTTTCTTTTTTTTTGAGAGCTGCTGTTGATTGTGAAGCAAAATTCATAAATTAGTACAGCAGCTAAGGAATTTTCTTTCAATAGCCTTTTGTATCTATCTCACTTATAATGTTTTCTTTTCCATTACAGAGAATGATTCTAGTCGTTTTTTGTCTACCTCCATTGAAGGCCCAAACAATATAACAGTTAATGTCAAACACGCAGTAGAAAGCATAACTCACACCCTCTTAGATCACATTGTAGCACATCGTTTTGGAGATAAACCTCGAAGGATTTTTAGGTAAACCTTTTATTTTGTAGCTTGATTTAAGAATACATTCATTCCTTTGATAAACTACATTTCTGCTAAAGTCAAAAGGTATCTTGGTTTTATGAATATAATTTTGTTCCATTAAATAACTGAAGGACTAAACCTTATTCCCAAGTAGCATTTCTCAAAGGAAAAATCGCTATATATGGCCATTTTATTGGCGATAAAACCACCAGGATCGTCAACATCTGAGCAATTATCCTCGATCTTATTGCAATAAAATTGCGCTTTTATCGCGATATTTTCGAAATAAAAATCGCAATAAATGGCGATTTAATCTCAATTCTAGCGGCAAAAATTGATCACGATTTTATCGAACCAAAAATTGAGATTTGTAGCAATTTAATCGCCATATATTGCGATTTTGAATGCGATAATATCTCAGTATATTGCCTCCGATATAATCGCGATGACCAACCGATAAAATCGCTATTTATCGCGATCTCTGCTACTTGGGTTAAGGTACCCACAGCATTTAAAGTGCCAAATGCGTACCATCAAGGTAGTGCTGTGCAAGTTGATTGTTGAGTCAGTGAATCATAGCGGACAATTAATGTTAGTATACTTGCAACTCTAACCTCCGCACTTTAAGTGACAGGTCTGCTTAATTTCCTTTGAACATTTGTAAACGCTGACTTTAGCAGCTCCTCTCGTGCTTATTGCGCATCCTCAATGCTGCACTATTGCTTTGTGTGAAGCTCAACAACTGAAGCAATATTTGTCTCTTTTTTAATACCTGATCTTTTCCACAGAATAATTCGCAGCAAGAAGTATTGTGAACAAGAACAGATCCAAAAAATAGCCATGGTTCCTGACAAAGAAGCAAAAAAGTATACGTACAAACTCCTTGAAGAAAATTTTATTCAATTGACTCAGTTGAGTAGGCCAGCAGCAACCTCTGGCCCTGGAATAAACAAAGTCTTCTACTTGTTCCATGTCAATCTTGATGCGGTGAGTAACAATTTTTTTACATTTTTACCTATGACATGGAAGTAAGAAAAAATTGCCTTTTGAATAGAACAGAAAATGGCAAACTAGATAGTATGTAAGTGCCAGTTAGTATTTCAGTGGGAAAGAATTGCAGACTGTGCAAATGTAGATGAAAGTTTAGCTGACCAAGTATGATGTATTTCAGACGATTGCCTCCTACCGCTGCAAATGGGGGTTGTCGCTCGAGTGTAGGCAATGGGCCCCTGTCTTAACATTGCTGTGAGCTCTACTAGCATCAAAATCAAATCTTCTGATCGAATATTTAGTAGAGATGATTCAGTAAAGACTCTAGAGCTTCACTGTCTGCAGCCGAATACTATGGAATTGCCCTAACCCTGCAATAGTCTGGGTAAGCTGTGTGAAAAAGTATGTCTCTAAAAGTATGCAAGATTTTTTTGCATAAAATTTAATTTTTACGCCCATATTTCCTTTCTTTAGTCTTTATAAAGGTTACATTACAATTTAGAGTCTAGTTTCTGTTTTTAATAATTACATACTTGTATCTCTTCTCTATCGCTTTAATGAAGGCTCATGAATCATTTGGATGTGTACGTTCAACTCTTAATTTAATTTTATATTTTATTTCTGTACCAGGTTGTTCAAATGGTTATTCACCAGTGCTATCAAGCTTTAGGTAATGCAATGTCAAGGAGAGACCATGAAAGATCTGAAAACGCAAGACTTATTGAAAAGAAAAACCGCATCGATAGTTTTGCAAAATCTCTCAAAGAACAAGGACAAAGTGAAAATGAAATCAAAGAAATGGTATGTGTAGTTTAGTACCAATGAAGTTACCTAAGGTTTTTAAAGGGAGTGGATTTTCCACTAGCAGATTAGTGTCTTTGTGGACTTTAAATAGACCCAAATGTGTTATCCTTCAAAGCGATTTGAGAACTTCTTTGATGATAAATTATTATAATAAATAAGTTGTGAAAAAGCTGTGAATAGAGGATCCTACAAAATGCCAATATCAGCCCTGACCTGAATAATAAGATTATCGATGCCCATCAGACTTCTTCATTTGTGCAAATCAGAAATTAAACAGCTGTTTTGGTTTGTTGTGCGCCATATCATTCTATGTTCCATTTCTGGATACACTTGATTAAACTTGGTACAATTTGGAAAGGTCCTTGTATGGGAAACCAAGGGATTCAGTGTTCTTTAAATTTTGTTTATACTGAGCGCGATGAGCTTTTATAATAATCAAACGTTTTATGTGCCAATATTGAGGAAAAGTTAATTTCCCAGCCCTTTGAATTGTGTCTTCTATTGGAGACTGTGCGCCATTATTATTTTGAGGAATTTGATGATTTTTGTCAGTCATATCTTTTTACAGCAAGGTAACAAAATCTCCCCTCAATCAATAATCAGATGTATGAGATACAATAATTAGATCGGCGTAATATAATACTAATGAGCCCTACTGTTCTCCGTGATCAACGTAAGGCAGGGCTCATGATTTTTTGGACTTACACCCGTCTAACAGAAACCGATTGAATCATCTTGGTTTTAAAGGCTGAAAATTCACTTTTCAGCCCCTTTTTCCTTAAAATTGACACATAGAAAGTTTAATTCTTAAAGCTTATCATGCCCAGGAGGTCGAGAAGAACATTGTATTGAACATGAACAAAATTTAGCCGGTGCTGAATCCTTCGGTATTCTGAGCAAGATCCTTTATTAGCAAACCTTATAAAAAAGCATAAATCTTGGTTTTAAATTTATAGTAATTTTTAGTTTAAGAACTCGCTCTGAATTCTGTCCTATTTTTGTCCATTACAATATGGCTAGAATCTTTAGTGTACGATTGATGTTCGAAAAAAAAATTCTCAAACTTTTCTTTAACCAATTTTTTCTAATTTTCAGTTGGAAGACTTGATGACACCACCAGAGAAAACTTTACTAGAAAATGTCAATTCGGTATTTGAAAAACTGTCGCTGGCAGAGGAACAACTAGATGATACATTGTTTATCCTTCAACTTTTTCAACACTTTCAAAGAGATGCCATAAAAAATGAGAGCTAGCAAAAGCTGCTCGCTATCTTCTTGTTGTGACAGAACTCCTGCTGGTATGTTATTAATGTATTTTTCGGACATTTTAAGCCTTGCTCTATTTTTGATGGTACTTGGTCTTTTAGAATAAAACTTAAAACAAAAACAGCAAAGAAATCATTAAATCATCTGCTGGAAAAGCAAACCAGCTTTGTGCCTTCCTCTTTGCTGGTTGTCCAACTAATTTTCCTAAGGGTTGTCCAAGGGTTTCAAAACTTACACTTGACCGAAAAAATCAATTAGCAAATATTTTTAAGCTCAGCGCACATGGACCAAAAAAAATTGGCTTGTATAGACCTTTCAGTAATAAATTTTATACGCTAAATATGATCACGCTAAAAATGTACAGCATATTGTGTCTCTTAAGCCTAGCAAGCCTAACAATTTCTTTTTTTAACTTATTTCAGGATTTCCATTAGGTTGATTGATGGTGCCTAAAAGCAAAATTATCGTCCAAGATTGGGTGGAAGTACTTCCTCCGGCTTATAGGTTTTGAAACGGGTTTTTCTGTTGGTTTCAAAAACTGTTTACCGTAAGATATACTATGAATCCCCTCTTATTATTTATCAAAAATTTTCTTTTTTATTTTGTTGGTTTTTCCAAATGTTAAAACCTGATCTATTTTTAAGCAGCTAAAAATTATCAATAGTTTTTCATTCTGCTGTTGTGGTAAGAAAACATGAATCCGACAGCTAGAAATAAAATGACATTACTTATTTTCTAAAAAAAATACATCAGAACTCAGTTGTCTTAAAATTTTTAGCATCTGAATCTTCTTACCTCAATCTTTTTCTCCTTTTTTGAGAGCATAATGCATAACGCATCTTTAAAGAAAGGTGCAGGTGGACTTCAATTGACTAGGAAAAACAATAATTATTTACAGTGTGGTAATTTTTTTCTAGATGAACAAAAAATTAAGTTTTTAAAGGTATCCATTTAGAATGTTATTGACTCAAACAATGTTTCATCGATTCGCCATTTTTTTATTATAATTCTTCAGAATCTGTGTCAGCTTTAACTCGAACTTCTAAGGCGCAAATGTCAAGGTTTTAGGTCAATTTGCCTTCAATTTGCTTTTCTTCTCGATTTTTTTCTTCCTTCTTCTCTTATGGGTTCTTCTTGAACTCAGCTATTTGTAGGGTAATGGAGTGCAAAATGCTCTGAGCACTCCCTGAGTTCACATTCTCCACATCCAAAATTTTTGCCGATTCTTTGATGAAATACTCGAGATCGGTGACTTCCTCCTCATGTGTTTTGTCGATTTTCTTGCTGGACAAGCATTTGTTTGCCAACTGAGCAAGTCTAGATCGTTCTGAACTGAATGCCTCCTCTAAATCGTACAGCTCCAGACAAGGTGGATTCAAATCTCGAAATGATGGTGGGAAAACCTGAAAAAGAAGGGTTTAACGTTGCTGTGACTTCTAAAATAAGGAGGACGTAGGAACAATGTTAGATGCATCCATCAAATAGAAAACTAGGCAAGGACTCAAAAGCTAGGCACTGGAATTCGCCCAAGTAAGAAATGCTTTCAACTACCAGGTAAAAATTCAACCCCTGTCATGCACTTTATTGCATAATATGATTTAGTGTCCCCAAAATTACAAAATTGTCCTATAAATTTTCAAATCTTAAATGCAGGTTGCATTAACCCTCCTGCCCTCCCCAACTGTCACCCCTGTTCAAATCAAAAAGGACACATCAAAAGCAATTGAGCAGATATCCTCTTCATATTGCACAAAGCAAATTCAATTAGAAACCTTAAATTAAGTCTGTTAGATAGTGTGATAATCCAGGTGTCTTACCGCAACTTGCAATGGCGGAAAAGGGATCTGAAACTGAGGTGGTATTAACTTCAGTGGCTCATGTTTGATGTTCAGTTCTTTATAAGCGTCAAGAATACTTGCTACATGTTTTAGGTGAACTGAGTAGAAGTTATCGCTAAACAACTGTGTATAGTCATGGATAAAATTTGTGTCCTCCGCGGTCTCTTGCAAGCAGGTCTGCACCCGCTCAGACATCATACACATGTCAGGCACCATCTCGTAGTCCAATATCTGCAAAATGTGAATTACCGTGAAGGAAAGGGTTTTTACAAATCATATGTAGATCAATGGATCACAACAAATTTTATGAGTTGAAAGTCAAATTTTTCGCAAAAAAATGGCAATTAAAGTAGCAAAAAAAATACCAACATAATTCATATCCAGGAAAGTTAGGTTTTTCATTTGGTTTTCTGTTTTTGGTGTCCAAAAAGAGAGATCTTCTTTACTTATCTCTTACTTTACTAAGAAATATTTTCATCCCTGTCTCTCGGAGCCTTTATAGTCAATCATGATAAACCCTATCTGCAGGCTAATTATTATTGATATTGGTAGACAAAGAAGACATAGGGCATATGAAGCAATCCTATTGGTTGTAATAGGTGATTCCTACAGATTAAGGGAGAAAATGATCGACTAACTATAGGGTCTCTCGTGGTTTCCCGTTAGTCAGTCTATTACCTACCTCCTTTGTTCATTGCAACCACCTGCTTCCACCAACAAGATCCCTTTTGTGTTCTCTGTCTATAGCTTTGTTTATCAATTTCAATTATTGGCCTGCGGAGGGATCCCTTTCTCTTTAACTGGAAGTGCCCAGTAGACAAGGTTAAATGAACCATACAAGAAAGTAAGCAAGAGTCATTTTGGTAAAGTGTGATGGTTACATTTAAAGATCTAGGTTTTCCTCTCTGATAATATTAAAATGTAAGACTAACTTGTTAATGCTTACGTCGGGATCCTCTGCATCAATTTGATGCAGTTGTATTGAGTCCGGCGAACTAAGTAGTGCAAAAATAATTCTCCTTACTAGTTCATTTTCTTCTTTATCCATATACTTATCTGAAAACATGTGTCCTGATCCAAGAGCCACCAGTTTCCCTGTAACAGAATTGTGCGATTTAGTATCATCGTTAAGCATTCTTCCAAAAATTTCATGGATCTTAGTCGAAAGGACAGGTATACTCTTTTGAAGGGACAGGATATTAATTTCAGAAAAAATGTCATTCATAACAGCCTAACATACTTCCTAGGATCATAGGCTTTTCTTTTTCTTTCGCCTCTTCTGTGACTTAATTATGCAGTGATTAAGAGCTGACAAGACTTTCATTTCATAAAATCTAAGACCGTTGAATTATTAATTTGAGCCTTCAACCATTTTTGAAGCTACCATATTAATTTTTATTGCTCAAGCAATCGAGTCGAATTTGACCCTGGGAAAAAGAGAATCAGGCTTGAACTCAGCATCACAGAGCGTAATCATGAATTATTTTTCTTCTTCTGAAAAGATGGCTCATTACCTTGAGAGTAAGTTTTGCAGAAAGCGCAAACTGGTCTATTTTGTGGATATGCTGCTGATCCACTCGAGAGAATTGCAACCGCTGGCTTTGCAACATTCAGTGTTGCGCCAAACGGGTACAAAAACTGGATAGCTCTGCGAAAATCAGAGAAAAGAGTTGTACAACTTCTACATCAATTATTTCAACCACTTTTTAACTTCATCGTCAAAGGAGCCCTCTCAACTTTAATATTGTTTCAATTTCGTAAGACAACTGCCCTATCATATCTTGAGGCAATTTCCTAGAAAAAGTCAGGCGGAATGTTTCGTTGAGGATTAGTACTCCAATAGATTCGTTTTTTGCTATTTCTTGTAAGAAAACTGAGGGATTATTATCTCATGCTGTGTTTATGCGATACAATTTTCAAACTAATTCTCAAGACTCTCTTCTTCATGATGTTTTCAAATAAGATTGTGCTGTCGAAAAATAATAAAACTAATTTACTATACTGCATTCCTAACTGATTTATCACCTACTCCGCTTTGAAAACATGTTGTCCAGCGATTGAGCTGGAGAGGTCATGTTGTTTTCCTGCAAGCTATACTGTCATGTATTATATTATTTAGTTGACGTACTTAAAGCTGATGTCATTGCAAGTATTCCAATTCCAAAACTCCTCAATGGTGTACTTTTTTGATGTTTTTAAGCTGTAAAGATACTGTGTATCAACGCAGAAATTAGAATACCCAGGGCTCAGGGGTTCTAGAAATAATCTTATTCAATGCAACATTGTTGCGTATAGATTGCTACAATAAAAAAAAGGCATAACTATGTTGCAACTTTTCGAAAACTCTGGTGTTTTTTTTTGTTTTTTCATTTTTTGAAAGCAAACAACCAAAATTAAAAGGAAAACTATTTGTTAGTTTTTTTATAAAAAAATAAAATACAAGCTGTGATTCAAAATGTCACATTCAGAGGGATGCATCTTTTTCTTCAGTCATTGACATGAGACTCAATATTCATACCTCTTTTATGCTAATGACTCCCTAGAAATTAAAAAAATTCAGACCTGAGTACTAATATGCATGCAAGAGAGTTAGGACTGCATAAGGATCTTTTGTAAGACTTCAGAAAATGTCTACTTACTGACTAGCATCTTCAACATTTTTGTTCACAAATTGACAAATCCCTCTGTTAACAACACCATTGACAATCAAACATTCTTTTGGTAAAAAATACTTATAGTAGTGGGTTCGAACAACACAATCTGAAAATTAACAATGACATTGTCAGATAATTTTTTCTCTCCTGCAGTGTTTTTTCAATTTTGTAATAACTTGGTGAGTTACCTTCACTCGCTTATCCTTTTACTTGTTTTGGTTCTTATAGTCATTTCTCTTCAAGGGTCTCGACAGATATCACTGAGGATTTCATTACGTATTACTCATTTCTAAAATGTCTTCCATGATAGTTTGACCCTAGTTTTTATCAAATCTGTTCTTTCGCTCTGCTAAAACTTGGCAAAGCTGGCAGTAATGGACCACTAGACAAGGTACGAATTAAAGTAATCTGATACATGTTTCTTAACCAGAATTTTACGTAGAACATAATTCACACAACGAAAATTACTGAAACCAACTCCTAACGAAGATATTAACGTTTTTATTTCACATTGGTTACGAGGATTTTGAACTGCCCGCTCACAAGAAACTCAAAGCTCTACGTGAGTCAAATCGCGCACTATAGCGGTTTCAGGAAGCTTCTCAACCGAGCAATGTTCATTTTCCGCCATGTATTTTTCAAACTTTAAGCAATTTGCTGTAGCTGAGTCAAAGCGTCAGGACTGAGGTTGCCAGATTTTTAAATCGCAGAGACTGTCATGATAACGTTTAGCGCGCGATGTGAATCACGTAGAGCATTGAATTTTCACGAGCAGGTGGTTTGAATTCACGCTTCAAGAATCATTAAATATCGTCGTAAGGAGTTAATTTCGGCAATTTTCGCTGTGCGCATCGTGTTCTACGTGAAATTTCAGTTACGAAACATGTATCAGAATGCTGAAATTCCTACCTTGTCTAGTGGTCCATTATACATATTATTATTTCCCCTTTTATTCTGTTGATAGGGTGTAATTCAAGTGAGATTTTGTCAACAAGTTTTCCGCACAAAAATTAAGCATTGTCATCAGCTAGTTTTTTGAACATTTAAAAATCAATAGGGTCTATTTTACAATGTAAAGATTCCATCTTCATTTGTCCCCACCATTTTCCTCTTGTGGTATCTATAAACAACTCGCTTCAAAAAGATACTTACCATTATTGATCATAATTCCAAATTCCTCAAGGAGAAAATTGACATTTGTTTTAGAGCTCTTTTCGCCACCCTCTGAGAGCATAACAAATACAGAGCCACCACTCTCCATAAATTTCTTTATAGCATCAAATTCACCCTCCGAAAACATTTCCTGTGGACCGGCCAAGACCAGTATTGTGACACCTTGCAACTGACTGGATGAGAGTTCATCTTTATTCCTGAAATAAATCAGATGTGTTAAAACATAACATTGCATTGGACAAGTGGCTACCTCACTGGATAAAAACCATAGCACAGCGGAAAATCATACCAATGATAGTGCGGCAGTTAGGCATGCTTTTTTCATTGATTTTGTAAAATCTTGTAGTGCTTTAGAAGGAATATATTACAGTTGTGTATAGGAATTTGTACCGGAAAGGCTGTGGTACTGAAAAAATTAGCCCTCAATTTAGAAAGGCTCTCGTTAAGGCAGGAACTTCTTGTGGGTAGGTACCTGAGTAAACATTCAAGATGATAATATAGAAAATGAGAGTTTTGTTTCCATAAAAGCATAAATTTGCTTAAAATTGTATCTTGTTTTTTTTTTCAAGAGTATTGCTTTCAGAGCTAGAATTCAACAAAATCGTTAACTCTTATGATCATGTTCTGTTCCTGTTCTTCGTTTTTCCGATCATTTTTTTCTACACTTTCGATCAGATTAGGATAATAAAAAATGTCCTAAAGTTATCGAGTAAACGTTTATAAATTACTTACACATCAACTGTCCAGCTCCCTCTTATCAAGTGATGAAACTGTTTGTAGTTTTCATGTATTCCAAAATGCTCATTTTTCGAAGCATCAAATAGGATCACATTCCCCCTCGCATTGGTTGTGTTTGAAACATTCTGTGGATGAAGAAAGAATGGATGGTGATGAAATTTTTCTGATGAAGAACCTTAAATTACTCCCCTCATCTGAAGAGAAGCTCTCTCCTGAAAAAGGGGTCTCTACTTATTTACAGAAAAATATCCTATCTACAAGCATAGCTTATACTCATTAAATTCTTGTTATCATTCACTATCTTGTGATCGCAGGAATTCTTAATTATTTGATAAGGGAATAATTTTGTCATTCGACATAAAGACAAGACAGGAATGATTATTTTTCATAAGTCTCTTCAAGGTGCATGACAATTATAATCAACTTACAATATCCGCGGATGTGTTTTCAACTGGAGCCATTACATTTCATGATCGAAGTCGATTTCTGATATTCTTGATAAAACCCAACTTCCAGGCTCGAGAATGTAAATAACGCGGCGGAAAACACTCGGAATTCTCATGATGCTCTGTGTTTACTATTTAAGTGCTGTTGTTGCCCTGGTAACCGCACCGGCAAATGATGCAACCTCTGGGACAGGAAGCCCACCCATTGGCGATAGCGCATTACCGGCTGCGGTTATGGCGCGCGCCAACCTCAAGTCGATGAACAACACGCAAGTTACGCCCCGCGACTTGTTTCGCCTCAAATTCGTAGGATAGGCAATTTGCGGTTCTCCGACGCTCCTCGCACTAAAATCAATCACCGTGCGTCGAAATGAGGATGAGCAAATTGGGAGAGAGCTCGCAGAATCTTCAGTAACGTGAGATGTTATTGATGCTCCGCAGCCCGTGATAAGATATACAATAATAAAAAAATTTAAAAAGCTGGTAACAAGGCTAAGTTTCCAAAAAAAAAAACCAAAACGTTTCGTCTGAAAACTCAGCCTTCCTCAGTTGGATAAAATAGTAAAAACAAAAATGGTAAAAATCTAAAATAGTGCCTACTATTTCATTAAGTACTATTTAAGATTTTTACCATTTTTCTTTGGTTTTTTAACCGGAACGTTTTGGTTTTATTCGTGAAAATTAACCTTGTTACCCGCTTTTTAAATTGTTTTATTATTGTGTCTCTCAGTAACACCTCGGTTAGAACTATTGTTGATCAAAAACAAAGGGGATCGGCCAACTTCTATGGACAACAACTGTCCCTGAGTTTGGCGGTAGACGTCCAAGAGAATTTTTGTCGGATGAAAATTCGGAAATGCAGTTTTTATGCGAGTGTTACCCAGCATTCTTAAACTTTTAAAATAAGGAGTCATCTTTTCAAGTTCTTAAATTCTGTAAGTGTTAATGTTATCCAATTTCCAGGAATTGAGTTTTTAAGCTGTATTGTGGCAACTCGGAACTTTTTCATGAATTACGACATGTGTTGAAGGGCAAAAAAAGGGTACTTTGATCAGGTACTCTGATTTATCGCAAAATTTCTCGAATTGGAATTGGGGCGGATTCAAAATTAAAGATCTTGGTTCTTCTTGACCTCCGAATTTTTCCCCCCTGCAGATACGCTTTCGTTTACTCGAAAATTTGTCTCATAAATATTCAGAAGTATGGGAAACCCTATTGAATTCGACTTGAGTACGACATTTCATTAAGTTTCAATCAATGTATAAGCCATGTATAAAAATAAGATTATCCGTAAGTGCATGGATCGACGAACTTGGATAGACAGAATACCAACATCGATCTAAAAATACGTAACTTTTCGATGAGTGATTACAGGCGTAGGTATAGTTTGGAACAGCTGTAGAAAAGTAATACAACAATAACTATTTTATTACTTCACTTCGCCTGCTTAGAATCACAATCGGGGAGAAAAAGAAGCTCATTAAAGTTAGTAAGTAACCATTGATAAGCTCTCGACGTTTGGGAGTTGGGCGAGTAGGCAGTTTCAATGTCTATAACACATGATGCCCTACAATTAAGTTGATTCTATATGACCTCGAGTGTTAACTTCTCAAGTGACTTTATCCATCAATACAAAACATGCCATACCCCGAGTAGCAATAAATCGAAAGACCACAGCAAAGAAGTTTCATTTTCATAGCTTGATAATTTTTACATTTTCGACACCAAATAAATGTATTTGAATTAAATTGCAATTTAAGGCACTTCGGCTGCTGTGAAAGTGTGAAGAAAATTTAATATGTTGAACTTAGATTTAACTGTATGTAGTTGTAAACCGCAACTTTTCCGTTGTACCGCAGTGGCTGATCCAGAGTGAGTTCGGGGGGGGGGGGGCATTTGNNGAGTGGGGGGTCTAGGGGTACAGGTACATCCACTTTTTACTAATTTTTTCCCAAAATGGGATTTGGTGAATTTCTGTTTAAACAGGATTATCCAAGCGAAAAACAAGCTGGTAAATCCAACACGTGGTGTTGGAAGAGCGCGCCATAAGCATATATCTGCATAGTCACATTCAGGCTTATCCTGGTTTTTAGTTATTTCACGAATTATAAAAACTCCTTAAAATAATTGTGAGTTACATTCATCCCGCCAAAAACCTTTCCATGTAAATATGAGCTGCCAAGCTAAAAATATAAACATTCGTCGCCTAAAATAAAATGATATCCCAAATAATAGATGCCAAGTAAAATTTATTGACATTAATTTAAAGTTTCTCCTGTCTTCAACATTAATATCGGGAAAACGCAAGATATAGACAAAAAAATTTAAAAGAATCGATTCTTTATCGATATTTTTCGTGGTTCAAAGCAACTTCTGTCGTCACACCTTGCGTTTGGTTGATTTACGGTCAGCCGCAAATAAAATGAAATTAATCTGACCCAATGAGAGAGTTTAAGCACAACTCATAGGCTACTTGAGACAACGGGACCAAGTTTAACAAAAATAAATTTATCAATATCAGAAGCTATAACAGCAATTTGGGCCTCATCCACAATCTTGGATTTGAGAATTTCGAAAATTAGACTGAAAATTCGAGTTGCTGGTCGAATAATACCGCCTGGTACGAAGTTTTACGAATATCGATGGAATAGGAGCCAAGAAATCATTTTAGGCCGGATCCGCCATCTTGGATTTGCGAATTTTGAATAAGTGACTGAAAATTCGAGTTTCTCGTCAAAAAATACGCACTGTTGCTAAGTTTTACAAAAATCTATGCAATAGGAGCCGAGATGCGGGGTGCAGGAATGAAGTGTTGCCGTGAAGGAGGAGATGAAGACGGAGAAGTCAACGATTAGGGTCTCGTGACGTCATAGCATTGATTGTTGGGACGCTGGACACTTGAGTGTAACTTGCTGGTGTTTCTTGGCCTTTACTGCCATGCCGAAATGACAGCCAATCAGAAACCCTCTTACATGGCCTCGCAGCTTGCACGTGTAACCGATATGAATATTTTCAAACAGCGATCTGCCCTAAGCAATTTGGTAGCTACGTAAATATTAGAGAGCTTTAGCAGGACATAAAGGGTCATAATAGACTCCTTTGTTATCGGCATTTATTAAAAAATTGTTATCAGCACTCTAAACGGTCTCCACGTTTAATTATCACGATGAGAAAATACAACTACGTTCCCGCCACGGAGAGGCTGTAAAAATAACCCAGGATACAATGGAGCTAGTATCAAGATCTACCGGTCGCCTCGCGGCGTATTCTAAGGAGCCCGCTATAGCATAGCGCGCTCAAAAGTACGTTATTCAGTAAGAATTATTGTACGGTTTGGCTCACAACATTGACAGAGTTGAGCTCTGATCGACAAAAAATGAGAAGTTGCGGAGAGTAAAGTGATACTGCGCGAGTTGTCCTTAAAGCTTTACTCTAAATCCTCAACTCAACGAATTCTGACCGGTCTGACCGAAAATGTCTGCCGGCATCTATTAAGTTTGTTTGTTAAGCAAACTTGTTGATCGACAAGAACATGTTCAAATACAAGAGATAGATTAGCAGCGGCATATGCGTAGCTAGAGCAATTTTCTAAGGATGGTTTAACCTCTACTTTCCCAGGAAGGGTCTGAGTCTTTTTAGTATAAAGATGAACTGCCAAAAAATCAAATATGATCTTTTTCGGAGGAAATTGAAACTTTCATCATATAATCTTTCTCGGAGGAAATTGAAACATTAGCTTCCAGCAATCACTTTTATTAGGTAATTCTCATCATCAGATTAGTATGTAATAGGATATAAGATAAACTAAAACGGGTGTCACTCCTAAATGTCAAGAAGAAATAACATCATCTCATAGCCACTTAGGAGATTAGGAGGAATAATTAACTAGTAGAATAAGTTTTAGTTATATGTTCTTATAATTAGTCATAGTTGTACGACACGTTTAATTAATTGTATACTATTTGACACGACCTTTAGGTAATAATAATAAAAAACAAGCAGTGAACTCCAACACAATGTGTTGATAAGGCGCGTCATTAACTCGCACCTATCAACCCTTTTAGTTTTCATTTACAGAGATTTCAAAATAGGCAAGTAGCACAACAAGAGAATTCATACGATCCAACTCTTCAACGACGCACTTTAACGAGACCGTGTATTGTGAATGTGGAGAGCTATTCGAACGAATTTAAGTTTTTTGATCTGCCTGAAGCAAAATCTTATCAGATTCTTGAAGAAAAGTGCTGCGGAATAATTTAAGCGAAGAGAGGAAAAATTCTGTCGAACTCCTAGAAGATTAAGTCGATTTAAAGGTATTTTGGGGCTAAAATACCCAAATCACCGGTAGTATAAATCCCGTTATATTATTGAAAATAAATTGACTCGACATAAATGCAATTGCTTTAAATATGTATTGATTTTGTTACTTTAAACGTCTTTCCATGGAAAGAAGCAGTTCAACCATGTCTATGCTTTATTCATTTATGAATTGAAAGTAAGAAATCTACATCCCGAAAAACTACCGATTTGCCGTAAAATATCGCAGAAACTTGATATACCAGGTCGATGCACCCACTCGTTGAATTTACGAATCAATTTCGTGAGTGCACATATGTAAAAGTCAATATGTTATAGTCATTTTGGGTGCCTTTATTTTTCAAGAAACAATTACAAGTAATTTCAATCCCGAAGAACCATCAATTTTCCGTATAGAATCGAAAAAATCAAAATATGTCCACTCCCTGACGTGAAAATTAGATTCTACGTGTGAAAATGCTTATGCATCGATATGCTGAACAGAATCCATGTCTATCTCAAAACTTTTCTCAGAGGTTTGTGTTATTATCAGCTTCCCTTTAAACCCCGGTTCGATGGCCGAATCGGCTGCCCAAAAAGCAAGCCATTTTTGAAGGGTTCTATGAGAAATTCGTGATATTATCGGCTCTCAGGAAATCTCCTCATAGCTAAAACTGGTGGTATAAATGTTTGAGTGCTTAAAATAATCGTACTAAAGAAACTAAGGCATTAAACTATGGAGTCAATTTCTTTTTAATAATATAACGGGATTTACTACCGGTGATTTAGCTATTATAGCCCCAGAATACTTTTAAAGCGCCTTAACGTTCCACACTGTAGTTAAAAATATAAAAAAATTTCGATTTGGTTTTATAAAACATGTTTAACTCGTTGAGGCACAATGTGTATTGTATGGAGTACTGTTGCTATTCGACCCTTGTCTTCAGGTCAAAATTCTTACGAGGAAGCCCCTTGGAAGAGGCGAATTTTTTGTAATTACTCCCAATTTTTTCTCCGTTATATA